ACCCTCCGATCCGCTCCGCACACCCAGCATCCGCATCAACAGCTCTAATTATGCTTCCCAATGCCGCTGCGACCACAGATCCTCCAGCCCCTTCCCCTCCGCCGCACTCCCTACAACTGCCGCAGCTACCACCCCTCCCGGCGAAAATACCAATCAAGCCCTGGGCTCCGCCGTCTCCGCCGCCCAAAACCTCTTCTCGAAGAATAACCCACCGCCTCCTCCTCCTCCTCCTCCTCCTCCTCCGCCGCCGCCACCATCATTACAAACGGCCCAAACGCCCATATCCATCGACCCCCTCCGCATCGTTGGGAAGGAGCTGAAGTTTATGAAAAAGAACATCCAACAACTCCTAGGATCCGGACACCCCCTACTCGACCGCATAGCGAAATACTACACAAGAAGCGAAGGCAAGCATGTCCGCCCCTTGCTCGTCCTGCTTATGTCGCAGGCCACAGCCATAGCCTCCAAGTCGCCGCGACAGGTGCAGTCCGTAAGTGAATCGGGGATTAACGAGGCGATTACATCCCCCGCCATCCTGGCCGATACGAATCCAGATCACAGCGTTCTCACTTCCTCAACGACGGAGGCCTCATACACGCTCCCCGGCGAAGAGGTTGAGAAAGGGCAAGGGCAGGTGCAGGGTGATGGAAACATCCTCCCCTCCCAGCGCCGTCTGGCAGAGATCACAGAGGTAATCCACACAGCCTCCCTGCTCCACGACGACGTGATCGACAACGCTGTCACGCGCCGGTCCTCCGTCTCCGCGAACCTGGAATTCGGCAACAAAATGGCCGTGCTTGCCGGTGACTTCTTGCTCGGGCGTGCATCTGTGGCATTGGCCCGGTTGCGGGATCCGGAGGTCATCGAGCTGGTCGCGACGGTCATTGCAAACCTGATCGAGGGCGAGTTCATGCAGTTGAGAAATACGGAGCTGGATGAGGAGAACCCGTTCTTCACTGAGGAGGCGATCACATACTACCTGCAGAAAACGTACCTGAAGTCTGCCAGCCTGATTAGTAAATCGTGTCGGGCAGCGGCGTTGCTGGGTCACAGTTCGCCCGAGGTCGTGGAGGCGGCGTATTCGTATGGGCGGAATCTAGGGCTGGCGTTCCAGCTCGTGGATGATATGTTGGATTATACGATTTCGGGAGAGGAGCTGGGGAAGCCGGCTGGGGCGGATCTGAAGCTGGGGCTTGCCACGGCGCCGTTGTTGTTTGCGTGGAGGGGGAATCCGGAGCTAGGTGCGCTGGTTGGCAGGAAGTTTAGACGAGAGGGCGATGTGCAGTTGGTGAGTTTTTGTATTTTTCATTTTATTTCCATCTTTTATTATTTACCCTGTGTAGTCTTTTTCAAGAAAGAAGCAGAGGGAACAGGGCATGTCCTCCCGAACAGCCAATCTCCTTCCCCCTTCATCATCGCACAATTGCTGCCCGCATACTTTGGAAAATATCCAATCCACTAACCCAAAAATCCATACCAAAAAAACCAACAGGCCCGCCAAATCGTCGCCCAATCCGACGGCCTCGAGCAAACCCGCGCTCTCGCTCAGGAATACACCGATAAGGCCATCGAGTCCATCAGCATCCTCCCAGACAGCGAAGCGAAAGCTGGTCTAATTGAGATGTGCGCGAAACTCACGCAGAGGAGGAAGTGAGGTGTATACCTCTTGTACTCTACATGTTCCGTGCCAGGATCGACGGCGATTATCAGAAAAGGAAGAAAAAAGCAGAAGGAAAACAGAAATTGGAGGTCGGTGTGGAGCTTGGTGCTTTCGAAGGATCATTATTAGATTTTTTTTATTTTATTTTTTTTATTTTATTTTATTTATTGGGCTATATTTATCTATCTACTTTTTGTTTTCCCATATGTATGTATATATATATGTGTGTCTATATATATATATATACCACTGCTCTCTGCTAATCTCTTGTCGCACCCAACTCTTGGTTTTCCTTTTGTTCTCCACTTTTGAATTGCTAGAATACACGGGCATATGTGCTTTGGGAGGGGGGGGGGCTGGGGGCGCTGCATCATTCATGCCTATATGTCAATGTATGTTCTGGGATGCATGGGAGTATAGGGGCATTTTTATGCATTTTTATGCATTTTTCGCAGGAGCGAGAAAACTCTTTGAACCTCTTTGTTTGTGTCTTCTGGCTGTGCTGGGCTTTCTGTCTGTGAAGAGGAGGACATTTAACAAGTTATTTATCTTGCAAACTGGGGGAAATGCTATGGGGGAACCCTTTGCGTGTCATGGGGAGAAAGGGAGAGTTTATGAGCATTTATGCGACCATCTCTTTTTATGTTTCCTGGCTTGTATACAATGTGCTTATTGTATCTTTTATTACTTATTTCCATTATTCCTTTTCATGGGTGTCTATGTAATAGTTGCTATTTAGTTACTCTCCCCGTTTATCAGAGTCTGCTGAATACACCCTTCCGTCATGACCCATATATTCCACCGTATATCGTCGTTCTTGTAGCTGGCAGCCTCTGCAATCGACGAAGCCTGCCATTCTGTCATATATATATATGTTTTTCAGAAGTGATTGGGGAAGATTTAACAGTTAGCGTTTCTCCCAATTACTTCTCCTGTCCCCTTCGGCAACCTTCTGCTAACTACAATAAGGACTAGAGAAAGACCGAGTGAAATGACAGGTTGTATTGGATGTTAGATGGACCTAGATGTAAACCGTACACGCAAGTGAAGGACGTGAAGGTAGAAGGAGGAACAAAGATGAAATTTGTATATGGAATGAAAGGTATGATATATGTATGTCTGTTTCCTTTCCGAGAACACACTATCTATACTCCCACCAGATCTGATAGTTGTTCTTTGGATCCTATGTCGAACTTTTAAATTATCTCTTTCGAAAGTGCATGTAAAGAGGGAAAATCTCACACTAATAATCATACCACGCCCATAATCATAACACTCTTCACATATCCCGTAGCAACGGCTATCCCTTCCCTCATGTGTAATACAAGTGTACTCCGTAGCAGGTTCGAGGTCAGGGAACTGGCGGGTGGGGTTTGTAAAATGTATCCCATCCGCCTGTTCCCGTTCCCGCACAACAAACCAGTAGAAGGTAGCAGTAACTAACTAACTTGTAGTACCTATGATTAGTCATTTAAGATTAATGAGAAAAATATATGGGTTCTCCGTCACCAGGTCCGCTGTGCCATTCTCTTCCGTGCAATGATCCCAAAATTTGATATACCGTTTCCGCTTCCACGACGACAAATATAATAAGATCCCCGATCAGCAATCAACACTAGATTTCGGCGGATAACATATATATCTATCCAACGGGACTCCACGGCATAGGAATCAAAATCCGACTCTTCATAGTCTGAATCAGCGGCACCGTTTTATGAACAGTATCCGCCCAACCTTCAATGGACCAGGACTTTTCGCGTCGAATCTTGCGCTCCTCCAGATCCGCAAATTGCCATAGGTGATGCACCGTGTTCAGCTCGCCGATCTGCACAAACCACGCGCCTACTCCCTCCATCACTTCGCGGCGGGCATGCAGCCCTCTTCGCCAGTGGGTCTCCCACTCGAGAAGGTTGCCTGGGTGCAGCGTGTAGGAGCGGAGCTCGAAAAGGCCGCCGAGTTTACGGGGTGGAGTTGTTGGCCAGAAGGAGAACTCTTGCATGAGAGATGTGCGTTTGCTGTTGATGAGGGATTTCAGGCGACAATCAAATGCGCGGAATTCGGGGTGCTCGGAAATGGCGTGCAAGGAGGCGTGATAGCCCGAATAGCGTTGGTATTCCCAGATGTGGACTAAAATAGAGTCACCGTAGTTTAGCAATGGATCGCTTTCATGACGGGCGGTGTTCACTCGGGACTTACCAAATGTATCGTTGTCCCCGACCTGTGTTCTCCAACTTCCAACGAGATGAACCTTGTTATTCTCGATCTGGGCCATCTTCGGATACCACTGCCCGACCAAGTCGACATATTCATCCACCTTATCCGGCTTGACTTCATGGAAGACAATCGAATGCACGTATTTCCCCCGGGCCAGCACCTCTGAGAACGACCGCTCGATGTCCTTGTCCAGCTGCTGTCCTTCTTTGGTGCCATAGATCAAGCTGGACAAGGTGCCACGCTTGGGAGCGTTGCTGGTTTCGGATTGACGGTGTTCCCCTACAATGCGGTGGGTGGAGAGTGAGCTCAAACCATGCACGTCCAAAGTCTCCGCAGCATCAATAACAAGAGGAACGGGAACATCATTAGAAGCCGCCGTAGCTGAAGCAACTGCAACGCCAGCGGCGGTGCGATCGGACTTCCCGCTCACATTGCTCATTCCTGGAGCAGTGGGATATGTTGAGCCCGATTGCTGCCGACTTGTAAAGGAAAATGAAGCAGGAGAAACAGAAGCATCACCCAACTGACTCTCTTGCTGTTCTTTTTTCTTCCGAGCAGCTTCCAGGTTATCCCGAAACTCCTTCTGCCTCGCGTTGAAGGAAGCCGCGGTGTCTGGTGTGATGTCTCTAATCGAAGGGGCCCGACAGAGCGCTACGGTTGTGGACAAGGGACGGATCCAGGCTTGGGGTGAGGCAGAGCTGGATCGGAGAAGACGTGGAGCCAGCATGGTGAAATAGAAAAATAGTAGAGTAGTACAGAGTACAAGCGCAGGTGAGTTGCAAGTTGTATAATTGTTATGATTGGTGTCTGGGGAAGTATGTGGACAAGCAATAATAACAACTGATTGTCACCAACTAAACCCAACTTCTCCACTCGAGGACCGTGTTGAATGGGTGTACTTGGAGTGGCAGGATAACAGGCGAAGCGTACGTACGGTGAACAAGCTGGGATGAGAGACTGGCAGACACAAGAGGTACGGGAAGCAAACGATGAATGTAGTCTCGAAGCACAAAGACAGCAGTGGTAGACTAGAGAGGGGAAACAGCCCGTGTAGCAGGGATAGCGCCCAGGTAGCACGCTATCTGAGAGCCAGGATAGTTAGTTAAGGGACCTCCGTTGCAGGCTGGAAGAGAAGCCTAGGCCTACTGCAAGAACAGAGGCCACGGGTAAAATCTGAAGACAAAGTCTACAAATAACAACACAAAGAGAAGAAAACCAATGAGTCGGAATTGACTGATAGATAAAGAGAGGAGACTTGACTGTAAATGAGAGGAACGAAGAGAATGAAGAGAGAGAGTGTGTGTGAAGTGATGAGGTTGAACTTGGAAAGACGTTTAAAAGTTATTCAAAATCAGTTGGGAATGCTTCTTGCAAGCTACCCTAATCACGTGCCTCCCTCTAGAAGAAACGGGTTGTGAAGAAGATCTTGCTTGGATGGTTCTACACACAACAACAACAACAACAACAACAACAACAACAACAACAATATTTCTTCTTCAACGAAGGTTATAATAATAGTCTCTGGAATGAAAAGCTGCAAAATAATATGGCATTAAAAAATGTCTTCATACTTTTAATGCAGGGTTAAACCTCTTTTTAAAGTATAGAAAACTATATCTTATTAGAATTATAAAATTAAATGTTAATAAAAATCTAATTTTTATCGAATATTATTAGTAAATAAAAAGCTAATATTGTATATAACTTAGATGCTAAATCCTTTAAATTAATTTATTAATTTGTATAATTAAAATGATGCTAAGATATGAAGTGTCAATAGTAACATTATAGATAAAAGATAATAAGTATTATAAAAGTGATAAAAAATAATACTAAAATATATTTAAGAAGAATTAATATAATAAAAGGTCTAAAAAGACTAATTTAATATAAAGAAGAAAAAGATCTTATGAAAAACTCAAAAGTTATATTATATTACCTTTTTTAAATACATAGTTATTGATAATCTAATATATATATAGATCTTTATCTTATAATTATAACTATAAGCGTTATATAACTATAAAACCATTGAACATGCAAAAAGAAGTCCAATACTAGTATATTTTAATTGTTAATGGAATTTCTTCTGACTGCTGTGATAATCGCAATTTCACATAGATGCAGAGTTTGGTGGTTTAGTGGCTGAACTCCGGTTGGGATTTACAACGGTAATGTAAATTAGTTAGCCAAAAGTTCAATGTCTGTTGTGACATCAGCGAAACAACCACGTCAAACTTCAATTATTTCAGTTGCTGAGAGAAAGACACAACTTATTGCATTGAACTATTATGTGTAGTGATCAAGTTAGTCGGTGTGGAGGAACGACCAACCCCAAGTGAGCAGATAGCTATCCATCCCTCTATACTCATATCCAGCCGAAATCAAGCAGACGTGGGTTGGGCCACAATGGCCGACACCCACCCGATTCCCCTCAGCTACGAGGCCTCTGCCACAACAACGCATCCACTGTTCACCAGTAGCCTCCCACCGGAAGTAGACAGTTGCCTCAAGAATTCAAGATTCGTATGTCACATACCCCTGGTGAACATGCATATGAAAAAATATCTGCCTACCCACTAACAATGGCCATCAGCTCCACCTGGCAACATGTGACAACCAAACCCCCCACGTTAGCCTGATGAGCTACACCTATCTCCCCTCGACCACCTTCACAACCCACCCTACAATAATAATGACCACCAACGCCGCCTCCAAAAAGACCCTGAACCTCCTCTCAAACCCGCGTGTCTCCCTCCTGGTCCACGACTGGGTCTCCCACCGGCCTCCCACCCTCCCGACCCACTCGAGTCTTGCCCGTGACGGGCCCCCGCCCCCCGCCGCGACACACTCCAGCCTCGCCTCTCTCTTACTGAATATCAACACGAGCGCCCTGAGCAGCATCAGCACGACTATCATCGGTGAGGCGAGGTTTGCGGAGCAAGGATCTGAGGAAGAGAAATGGTGCAAAGAGAGACACTTGGAGAATAATACCTTTGCGGCTGATGTGCCGGATGGGACGAGCTTGTTTGCTGCGGCAAGTGAGGGGCAGAGGGGGAGGGAAAGTGCAGTTGCGCCTTCGGTGGATGATACGGTGAGGGTGGTTATTGTGGAGGTTAGAAAGGGGAGGATTGCGGATTGGAAAGGGGGTGTGCGGGATTGGGCGGTTGTGGAGGAGGAGGAGGAGGGTGCGTAGGGGGTGCAAAGGGGTAGAAGGATAGCTAATGGGGTTGAGGATCGATAGGGAGGAGGGTAAGGAGGGTTTTTTTTTTTTTTTTTTTTTTTTTTTTAACTCTCTTGATATTTATAAGAGAGTAGGCTCTCCATTTTTCCATTCTTGAGATATTGCTACGCGTTTGGTAAAAAGCACCTGGATTCCCCTGCGAAATAATTGGGTTGGCGGAAACAAATTGTATGTAAATTTGTTCTTCTAAAAGAATTCCACCTCTATATACACATGGATCTATACGCCAACGCATTCTTCCATTCTCTTCTTCTTACCGGTATCTCTCTCTTTATAAAAAAAAACTCTTCTCCATCCGTTCCTATCCTTTCTTCTACTCTCCCTTCCCCACCTCACTAACAACTGACGAACACAGCACAACCCCGGTTCCTGCATCAAAAACCACAAACAAAAACGACCTATCAACTCTCATCGCTACAGGAACCCCCTCATAGCACTTGCAGCACCACCAAAAACCCCCAAACTTGTCACAGCAGCAACCTCCGTCCCTTCTCCATTCACCTCTACGAACAAATCATGTTTGATATTTGTCACATAGGCGGGTTGTGAACGTGAGATGGGCGCGAAGTCTGCGGATGGGCGGCAGATGGGCCGCAACCCAAGGTTGAAGAAGGGTTCGGAGATGTCTGTGCTTTGTTTTAGTGTAAATCGCGGCAGGGAGAGGTGGAGGAATGTGGGTTTTTAGGCTCCAGGGCTGACCGCTAGCGGTATCGGAATGGCTGGTAACAAGCAAGGAGCGGAGGGTAGAGGGAGAAGCTGAGAAGGGAGCGAGGATGGCGAGAACAGACCCTGCGCCGGGGGTTTTGGGAAGGATTATGGCTGCGTTCCAAGTTGGGGATGCATCAGCTGGAAGTGGAAGAAAAGGGGAAGGGATGCGGTTTCGTGTTATCGTTCCTATACGGCAACACACACATCTGCGCGATGTTATCTTCCCAATACAAGATCTCACTAGTTCCATGCATCATATGGCACGGCATCCCGCCCGCCCAGCTATCAGTATGATCACTCCCGAAACCCCGAAATCTATCCACACGGGTGTTGGATCTCTCAAACGGCACCGCCCATTTGGCCTTGAAATACAAACTCGTCACCAGTTTAATATCTACGTCAGATATCTCCTCCTCTGCCACTAGGCCGGCAATTTCCCCCCCTGGACTTTTCGTGAACCCACAGATTCATTGCCCGCGCATCCTGCGGCGCAAGCGTCGCTTTGAACATTGTACTCATTGCTCCGGCCCATATCGGCTCAATCAGAAACGATTTCCCATACCATATCGAGCTGCTGATATCTAGCTCGATATCACTACCAGCAGTAGCAGCAGCAGCAGCAGCAGCAACGGGCGTGGAACGAGGATTGGGCTTGCAGTACTCATCCAGTTGCACGATATCCTCCTTTATGGCACCGTACACCGATACTTCTGAGGTGTTAAAACCAAGCACTCTAGAAAAGGCATCGAGATTTAGTCCCTGGGAGCCTGCTGCTGCCATCATGAGGCAACGGTAGATGTTGGCAGACGCAATGCCGCAGGGATATCCTGCTGTTGCGATGCTGTAGAGCAGTCTGAAAGCGAAGTGGTTAACGGTGTCGACGAAAGCTGGTGAAGGCGCGTTGATGTATGCGGTTCCGGTTTGTGGGGATTGTATCGCTGCGATGCCCCGGTCATGCAGGACGAATCGGGAGTCTAGGTGCTGCTGCTGATGTTGCTGATGTTGCTGCTGAACAGTGGTGGGAGTGGCTGTGCTTGGCCCATGCCCCGGGGCCCCAAGCTCTAGGTGCCGTGGGGGTGGAGCGGGGATGAATTGGTAGACATCGTTGATTAACGGAATTGGTGTTCTGATTTTGAGGAATGTATGCGTGTGATCGTGGAGGTTGAATTCCTCGCAGCTTGAGCACTGTGCGTGCATGATGGATGGAGATCAAGAACAGAACAATCAACACATGATCGCCAAAGGGCTCACTCAATATCGCAAGTGATTATTGGTTCATTGGATGCATCCCAACCACGCTGTGTAAGGAAGACATCCCGGAGGGCGGGGTGATTTGTTTGAGCGGGAATATGAAACATCACGCTCCTCTTACCAGGTCGAAGTCCTGGCAATTGATACATTTTAAATCTGTGGCCTATGATGGGGTCCATGTCACAATTGTCGCAGATGATGCCATGATGCTGTGCTGGTTCTATTCTTCTCGCCATAGTTCACATCCGGAACAGGCTCCTGTGGTTTAAAGTCAAACCACGGTTAACTGGGGGGTAGAACTGATCCTCCTCAGATTCATAAAAAGATTCATAGAAATGAAGGAAACTAGCTAGGATGCAAGGTATTCAACCTGTCCAAATTGTTCAACGAGGTCCTTTTTCAGGTTGTAATCCCAGGCTCAAGTGTGGCGGACTGGTCGGTTATCGAAAGACGTTCCCCCACTTTGACTGGAAATCATCATCGAGGCTAATTAACCAAACTACATAACTACAGAGTAAATAGTCAAGGTAGTTGGTTAACTTTGTTACGGAGCTCTGCTGCAGATCTGGATCTAATAATAAGTCTGATGCGTCCGATGCCAAACATATTCAAGTTTGTCCCAACGAGCCTGTTGTCTATTTCTTCTCTTCAACATGATGTAGTTATCCTTGCATCTCAAAGTTGTCTTTGCACTGAGGTTTCTCGCAAACACAGCTACTGCAAACACAGGTTCCTTTTTACCGCCTATCCAATTCTCAACATACTCCATGATTGGGCAACGGAGCCCGTGAAACAGTTATTTCCACCTCATGAGCTATCTCTCTCGAAGGCGTGTAGCCTTGGTGTTCGTCCCTCTTGCATCTGGCCAATCGTAAATCCTCAACAGTTCAGCCCTTTCTCTCTTGTCTTTTTCGTCTCTTCCTTTGTTCTTTTCTGAGTCTCAATCTCTTTCGCACTCATGCTACCCAATAAACGACTGAACAGTCACTTGCACGCCAAGTGGACGGAATTGAGGATTCCATAGGTCTTGTCTTCAGCAGTTCATCTAACCAACCAATGCAGATGCAAGCCCCAGAAAAGAATGTGCACAATGAACAAGCCGCAACAGGAAAATAAAAAAGAAATTACCCAGGCATCCATCACGACAACACGTTGACTTTCGTTGCTGGATTGAGAACCCCTCCTTTTCTGCAGCCTCGCTGCAAGTTATTTCTGCATCTGCCTGGAACCCTGCGGGACTTGAAGCTCTCCCTCTTTCGATTGAGGATGTAGCTGGGGTGGAAAGGAGGGGAGTTTACATCTTTTGAACCAAATGGACAGCGTGACGAGGAAATCCTGCATCCGCCTTGTGTCCGGATGACGGAAAGTGTGGAGAGATATAACCGTCAAAGCCCTGGACAAACTCCCCAAACTCTCTGCTATCACACAGATTGTCACGCAAGTCACATAGCAGGTGGTTGACAAGCTTTAACTGCTCATTAGTGAAAAAAAAAATGAGCAAGAGAAGACGGATATCAGGAGGAGGTGGCCGGGATCCTCAATGCAGCACTCGAGATCTGGTCTCTATGATGTAAAGATAAATATTTGCATGTTATGGTTAGTGGTAATCTAGGCATAGAGAATGATGAGCTGTGGGATAGTTACGTGGATCGGCGAGGAAGATAAGAACCAGCCGTTCTCATTCCCGGGCAACGGAGCCACCGGTAACTAATGTTAAAGATCAACAGCCCAGAAAGCCAACCTCCACCCTCCACTGTTAACACCACCACCTTCCCACCGATGCCAGTCACAAAAAAGCCCGCATCATACGTGATATTACCTCAGATCATTGGGGGGTTCGACGGTGAAGGGAAGAAAAGAAGACGGCAGCAACAATGCCATAATCAAGCGGCAGAAACAAAAAGGGTGTATTACGCCGCGGCATCGCCCTGTTCTCTGACTCTCCTCCGTTCGATATGGGTCTGCACGTTATAACTACGGACGTTGAAGGATGGCGTTCGCGGTGTCCATCACAAGCGGCGAGCGTCGTCTCTCTCTTCGCCAACGCTTTTCGCCAACGCTTTCATGGCTGAGACACCCTTATCCGCATAATTCGTCTGGGGAACCAGGCGGAAGTAACCGGCTAGAGCGTGTTTCTTGAACATTTCTTTTCCTTGTGGTTGCCCCTCTCTTCCGTTGATCCCGTTCTGTTCCTTGTCTCGTTATAGCTGCAGTATCGTATAGCCTTGAGATTCTTCTTTTTGCTTTTGGTTCAAGATGGAAACAGTGAGGAAGCAGTGTCGGTAGTTGATTTGTTTGAATGTCGGATGTCTTCTGTAGGCAAAATAGGGGTAATATAACTACTTCTCGGTTGTCAAAAATTTCCAGTGTAAATACTGTCGAGTAACAAGCTCAATTTTCCCAAAATCTTCCTATTGGGTCATTAATTCACGGGTACCAAGAGCAACAACAATCGTATACAGGCGGTTTCAAATGCTGTCTAGCACAGAAAGATCGATTATTATGACACTGGCAAGCAGCCGTTTATCATATTTTTTTTTTAATACGGAAAGCCCCATTAATAATGAAGCTCCGTATTACTCCACTAACATCTAAAGAAGTAATAAAACTGACCGAATTGAAAATGCGGGAGCTGGCTTGAAAGAAAGCGATATCATCCGTATATATGATATGGACGGAATATAACACATATGCTAATAGTATAACGTAAATTCAGCAATATACTGCAATAAAAAATAATTCGTGAAGGTAAAGAAAAGAGAACATAAAAAGCGTCATGAGTGAGCAGCTCAATGGAGTCAAAATCAGAGGGTGAAATAAAAAATGGTGAACAAACGGGCTGGGAGTATCGAAACTTCAACTTGTGAGCAATATGAAACGCCACAACGCTAAATGAATATATGACGAAATAATGGGACAAAGGTTTCTAGGTCGAGTAAGAACAAGTAAAAATGTTAAAAGTCATTTTCTCATCACGAATTATCTATTCCCACCATCGAGATATAGCGGGCGAAGTACGTGCTACTTATACTCCTCGTTCGGGTCCCATTGGGATGGCTGGAAATCGGGGTTTTGGAAATGCGCAAGGTTATTAGGAGAGCTGAGTTGTCAGTACAGGTTTGAAATGTTGAGGTCAGGTTTTGTTTTCAAGGAAGGGTGGGAAATGGAGAAGAGAACTTAGCAATCCACTTACTTGCGGAATGGTACAGACGTCAGCGGGAGAGTATTCATCGGTTCACATACTAAGGGGTTCATCCTGATCTGGAGCTCTGAGGATTTACCCGGAGTGGAAACTCGGCTGATGTGGAAACCGGGGAATGAAGAATGTTCGGATGGAGCTGGTGGAGACCGAGGAGCTAGTGGAGGGCGAATACTAGAGTTGATGTGCATGGGATATGTGTGCGACTGGCTGGCATGCAGTGGCGACGGAACACTGGTCGTGTCGAATGGGAGACTCGGTATGGCCATCAAAGTTGGGTTTAGATCAAATGGCAGGGCATTTGAATACCAAGAGGCATAGTCAGAAGTCATAGAATATTGGTAATTGACCTGGGTTATTTCCTGGTTTTGGATTGGCTGCTCGGTTCGGTAAAGAAGATCGTAGTGACCCCTACAGATCATTTTAGCCATTTACTATTTCAAGGGCAAGCAAAATAAGGGAGTTTCTTACGGTCGATAAAGAAGCATGATCGTCGCTATAGGATTATTGGGTGAGAGCAAATGTGGGGTTACTTGAGTTCCTTCACTCCGATCCAGATAAAGAATCTCAATGGCAAATCCGGACGCCCCAATGACTCCGTCGAACAGCCCCTGAATCCCAATTTGGTCGATTTCACTTTTAACAGTTTCGATTGTTCTTGTGCAGTAGTCAACAAGGGGAATTCCGAGGAAGTCCGCGTAGCGACTCGGATTCAGCTTCATCCATGCACTAGTCACCAACTGATGAGATAAATTTTGTAAGCCAGGCCTTAGAATTGACAAATGGTGGCTAGTTTCGCAGACTCAGAGACTCACCCTAAAATGCATAATGATAGAGGATGAATTATATTCATCATTAAACGCTTGCAAGAGGAATGAATCGTCATAGCTTCCTTTTTCAATCTCCTGAGATATACGGGTAAGAAGCTCCTCCGTTGCATCAACGAACATTTCATAGAGATGCTCTTGGCATCCAGTGGAGTCCAAAAGCTCATTCAAGGATTTCATCCGCGCCAACTCTTGGGTCACTTTTGCAGCATCTCTCAGGTTGAACAAAGACTCGAAATATCCGAAAGCAATTGCTAGCGTGGAATCAGTCTCAAGCACATAGAAAGCCAAAGAAACGGAAGCATTGAATAGCTCACCTCTCCATCCACAGTTTCCATCCCCTTTCATAATACGATAATGAGAATGGGTGTGTGAGAGCGCCTAGGAACAGGTAAGCAGGCATACACTACCGAGATGTACTTCGCCTCTCCATCTTGTGAGAAACGTTCTCAACATACAATAGTCTTTGCAACATATATCGGATCTGCGTTTGCATATTCGGAGGTTATCGTGCTGCTGGACTGTTTTTGACCAACGAGGGGACCCTGTGCCAACCCATTAGCCAACGGATCATCATAGGCTATGTTGGAAGACAAGAGACATGCTGCCCACCTGTAAATCCGGTTCATACTGATTGGAGAGCTTCTGGAACTCCGCCATATGGTCTGGGTCTGCCATATTGCCTGGAGAAGGAACAGTGCTTATGGTGGGGCTGTAATGTGTTGTTCGGTGGAAATTATCCAGGTAGGGGGCTCGAAATAAACGTCGGAATGACGGAGCAGCCTGATATGTCTGGAGGTGAAATCGTGCTGCCGCAGATTCTAGAGATCAAAATTGGCCGTAAGCAGGGCTGCACATGTCTGATGCAGCAGTCTGAGCATGAATGGTGCAATACACAGAGAGCACCACCAAATCAACCCAATGTATGTTCGTGCTTCTTTGTGATTTTATCTGATGGGTGAAGGGGGCTCGACCAGCTGCAAAACATGACGGTTTTCTGATAGCACATGAAAGGCAGAGAACGGTAGCATATAATAGTAATGTAAAATAATAGAACGACTACATAGAGGATATTGGGGAAGCAAAGCAGAGTTGCAGCAACAAAGCTACCAGCAACAGACCTAACCACAGCAAGAAGAGGATGTGAAAACTCACGTCAATTGACAGTGACAGATTCCTGCTGTGTATTATTATGGAAGCGGAGGCGACCTTATGTACGGAATACGGAGAAGAGCGATATTGATATGCAACCCGGCGAGCTGGACAATAGCAACACCCCTTCTGAGGAACCCCTCGTGTCGAATGGTGGATGCCGTCACCACTGCGTTGCCTGCGAAATCAGTTGTTATCACCGCTCGGAACGGGATTTACGTCTCAAAAAAGTGATCAAACAACAGCGACGAATGGGAGCTGCATGGTGCAACTCACGGCTGGAACGTGCCTTGAAGCAAATAATCGCTGCGAATGATTGTTTTTTGTAGCTAGCTGGCTGCGAGGTTGAAGTGGGATAGCAAGATCCCGGCTGACTCAGCAGCGCGGCCCTGAAGAAGTCGAGTTCAACTTCATCCGGTTCACACGGCGCAATATTCAACCTTTTCGCCCAGCCATCATGACACCAGCAACATGCGATATGTCTGCAATTCGCGGGACAACATCTTCTTGCTTACCTCGGTTTCCAGTAAGTATGGAAATTAATATAATAATAACCAGCTGGTTTCGATCTGCTGTAGCAAGCGTGTATCAGGGATAGTGAGATGCTCTGGAAGTGGATAATGGCCAACAACTATAAGTTAACGGACCCTTTGCAGCGGATTTTCTGAAGCGAAAACTTAAAAGTGGCGCAAATATCAGGTGCGAAAATGAGGACATCGGCAGTAAACACATGCACAAGGCGAATCGTCAATTTGGCTCCCGAGAAGCTAGCAAATAGTGATTGGTGTGGGATTGTCATGTATGCGGCAAGCCGAACCTGCACATGCAGAAACAATCCGGTCAAGGCACGAATTGATCCAAGCGTTGCCAAAATTCTGCTGCAGCTTTTACTTCTCGCCAAGGGGTCGTTGCTTGGAATTGTCAAGCCTCCTCCACCATCAGCCTCCGGAAGAGTGGGAAACTGCCGGTTGACTTCGCTACATGTTCTCAAACTATCTATGCCGGCAGGCTCACACTTTTGCAAATTCCACGGGGCCGCTAAACTGATCAGTTGTGCTCTCAGAGCAATTCTAAACAACACCCTCGAAGTTGATTGAAGAAAGAAGCTTTAAAAATGAAATCAATATGTTTGATACGGTTATCACCCCCAACAATACAATTTGATCGTCTCTGGATGAAGTCCCATCAAGTCTTTGTGTCTGAAAGACTACTACATACATATCTTCTCGATATCCTCTACAATGAAAAATCTGGTGTAGCTCAGTAGAGGTCAATCTAGTTGGCGATCAACAGATGCAGTTAAGCTTGTCAAGACTTGGTTCGCCTTCAGGGATAACTGCTTGGTTGGCATGTAAACCGGAATTGCCATAGCATATCCTCCAGCCTGGGAGTTAAGCAAAGGCAATCGTCAACTCGTGCCGGAAATATGAGGATTGGGTTGGGATCCTTTTTCACTCTTTTCGTTTGTTCTTCTTGTGATGGGGAATCACGCCTGCGTTTGGGATAGCCCAAGACTTGATCCTCTGATACATGCATTCTTCCCCTCCCTAGGATCGACTTAGGTTCATTCTGTTCGATTGTTGCGCCTAGACGTGTCACAGTGCCGAGGAGTACTATATCACCCAAGCAAAGCTCTTCCAAGTATGCTGCCGGAGACGCTCCTAGCCAGCCTTGAAGATTAAAAGCAGACATGGCTTTCATAACGCATCAGGCTGAGTCTCCAGACCCAACGCAAGGTTCTGACATTTCCTCATCGATCTACCGAAAAGCCTTTGAACTATTGTCGATTTGAAGGCCGTCCTAGCCCACCGTTGTCCATTTGCTGTTGAAACAAGCTCATGATGTGGCAAGCCAATTCTGTAGCTCGATCTACCAATCTTCCAAAGTTTAAAACCCAATCATTATCAGACTCCTTTTCAACGCTGCCTTAATACCTATGGGGAATGCCAACCGTGGAACCGAAAGAAAGTGATAGATAATATACTGTTCTCAACAGTAAGTGCTCATCTAGTACTACGAAATTCAGCAGGATGAATTCACTTCGTCCCTGTCCTGGGTCGTTCTAGTTCTGGGGCGTTTATCATCCCCATTCTTTTTGTACCAATACACCACTTCCATGCCTTCAACCACAGGCATTCGCAGAAAGAAAGCAATTGGAAGGGATACCAGCCAGCCGAAGCACCCAAAATGGCCTCAGAGACGCGTGTCATCGTGGTGGGAACTGCGAAGATTAGGCCATTTTTCTTTTTCCATTGCGTCGCAAACTTGACCTTTTGCTTTTGTAGGCTTATGCCAATTACGTCCCATTGTCTATCCGCCCCACTCGGGTGCCAGAAAATCCATCTTCTTTCGTTTTGATAACTGGTGCATATCTTCTCCCTTCTCAGTCCACGAACCTTGCTCCCTTTGCCTTGGATGTCAATACGTCAAAGAAATATGGGTCTCAGGCGTTTTACGGTGCACATGTCGGATCAGAATAACCCTCTCGGCTTACTTATCTACAGCCGTCGGATCACCATGGATATCTCCTTCTATGCAATAACCTTGTGCTTCCTATCCGTCGAGACTCCTGATCAATTCACATCGTTAAATCAGCAGCGACTTCCGACTTAGTTATCCATGATGAATCGATCTTGAAATTGACAGGATGTTCCTTATGCAAGAACACACAATTGACGAGTTCGAGAAAACATATTAGACACGAAATTGCATCGTCAAATATGGATAAACGTACTAGGTTCGCAGAGAGCCACAGTTCAGTGAAAGTGACGGCTCATTTGGAAGTGCTGAGCCGAAGCTTTCCGCTCGTTATCACAAGTCAGATCTATCCGTTAAAACCTTAGGTAGGGCCACATATCGCCATTTCACGTCGGGTAACTTAACCATGTTGTGCTAAACCAACATGCAACGGACTAACACCCTCAAAATTCCATTTCTTGGCCAACACCCCTCTACATAACTAGTTACCCATCTCTGCCACCTCACTAACTGACAAAGTCCTTTATTCTCCAGATACAAAATTCGGGCTGTTGGAAATGAAAAGGAACCTTGGAAGCTTGTTTGACCACATTCACCCACTGCCTTAATGCACGTCCAAAAATCGTTTTCGTGAACAAAGTATTCGCGGTATGGTTGAACCTTCGTGTTTTCTTTCTTGTTTCCCTCCATTCACTGGCCAGCATTTTCCTATCTAGTTAGTGCTTCCGGTGCAGAAGAACATCTCCAGCTGGCTAAAACATAATCATTGTACTTGCCTAGAATGTAGCTACCCCCAGGCTTGTGGATAGGGATGAGATCCGTTTCTTCCTCTTGTTGTGTGGCTCTCCTAGGGTCTTGGTCAACAATAACGGGAAGTCGATTATTTCCAAGGCCTAGCGATCTTCCCTTCGGGACGAGCCATTGATGTTCTCCAAGACTCTTGGAATCCGCCACAAAATGCCCCAAGCTGTGGCGGTGGCCTCTTATTAGCACGTTTCTCATGGGTCAAAACAGGCTCTGTCACACCAAAACTGTACCTTCTTCAGCAAAGCCGTTACCTACACTAGAATCCGCATGTCCGCGGCCGCTCTCTGCCTCCTGTACACGAGCCACACCGTCGGTGCTGGATCGATCTCCTAATAACGGTTCAATTTTCCCTTGTTTCCGTGAACTTGTTTCTGAGAGAGGTATATTTGAGCGCAATAACTTAGTGGCTATTGGCACGTCATTGCTTCTTGACCGCCCCGCGTTTCACTACCCTATATTCAGTCGTATAACCGATGAACAAAACATTATATTAGATCTCGAGTTACCGTTATCCACAGAGATACGATCGACGACCGCAGCGATTAGGACGGCATTCTACTCTGTAGATCTACTGGAGATCGACAGTGTAAGGACACACGCACACCCATATATATACATATATAAACTATATGAATATGAAGGCGACACGGAGTGATTGAGGATTCTTAGGCCTATGTGAATGCATGGCTGCCGGGTTTTCTTAACATCGATCTTGGGAAATAAGCCATTTTTGCCGGGAGAGGAAAACGCATCTTTGCGATAACATGCCTCCAGTTACAGGAAGGGGATCTTGCTTCTATCACTAAATGTCTGAATTTAGGCACTCTCAACAATCATTTATGTGCTTAGGCAGTTTGTTATATTCCATCATGGTCTACGGACGAATCGCAGCAAAGAAAGAAATGCTGATTCCGGTGGAAGGCTGCTGACAATAATTGAAGCTGGCCTAGTAGAATGTTTTATTTCTTGAGGTGGTTGCTGATAAACAACAACAACAACAACGGTATCATCGCTTCTAGTCGTAAAACTCCTGCCATCCCAATGAATCCACACTGGTCAAAAGGGGTTACCAGAAAGCAGTCAGCCGCCAGAGTGGCGCAATAAAAGGGATCCCAACGATGAAACAGATGGAACGTAAAGGGTCATTAGTAGAACTGTATCATCAGAGAGGTCGTGAAAAAGCTTTCGCAACGCCTGACTTTCCCTTCCACTCCCTCTTAATCCCACCAACACCCATCTTCCTGAACTCCGGCGACGATGAAGAATCGTCTGCAGGGCCCATCTGCCCATACCCACCCCCGCCACCACTCAGCATAGAAGTGTGAAGTCGCGCCGTCTCCTCGGCCCTAAACCCATCCGCGTTTGTCAAAACACACTGACAAAGCGAGTTTAGCTGAGACGTCCAGGTCTCAAGAGCATGCAAACGCTCGTGGTCCTCGTCCCGACTGATAACTACAGCGCCGGTTTCCTGGTCAATTTTTGCGTCCGGGATTTTCCGATCGAGGATCAGGAAGCTGAGAATATCCTGGACTTCTGGGATGGAAATTTTGATTTTTTTGGAGATGAAGGAAAGGCTGAAGCGGGTGTAGGGGGCGATTAACTTTAGGACAGCCTTAGTGCGCATGTTACGGCTAACTTCGTCGATGTTCTCGGCTATGAAGGGGTCTGAAACGACGTCAGGGTTGTCGCGGAGGATTGATTCGTAGGCGTGTATGTCGTCGCGTTGGAATGCGTCGACCAGGTCTGTCATGGCGGAGATGCGGGGGTCAGTTTTATATGGTTTGGTTTCTTGCGAGTCAAAGGGGTTGATGTTAGATTTCATTAACATGGTAGTCAAGACGAGGTACTTGAGGACCTGGATGCGCTGTATGGAGCCAGCTTCATCGTAGTTTCTGAACGACTCAAAAAAGTCACTCTGTGCCTCTTTCCAATTCTCTTCACTCATGTGCATCTTTCCACCACACTCGCGAATTATTCCCATGATTTTCGGATGCGGCACGGCAGACCGCACGGTGAGCGCTTTCTGATAGAGGGCCTTTAGCCGTTTATTGTTCTTCGTGTTCGCGTACATCTGGATTTCCAAGGCGTAGACCTCCAACGAATATGTTCCCTTGGCCGGGTCGTCTGTCCCGTCCTCACGCTGACACGCTCGATGCAATTCCTTCACTTTCTTGCTTAGCTGCACGTACTCCTTCCGCTCCAGCCACAGCCTTGCTAGCTTGATATTTGTCTTCAACCAAAGCCGTTCGTTGTTGGTATTTTGGAAAGATTTGAGTGTTAAGGAGTAGAACTCCTCCATGCAATGATATGCCGTTTCATCATCGGAGCCCTTCTCAATGTAATCCAGCATGCTGTTGATCGACTTTTCGGAATAGTTTCGCGTGACGGCCGATTTGACGTACGTGAGCAGTTCACGGTAGTGTTCAATGGCCTGAATGGATTGCCGTGAGTCGCATCATCCATGTAGTGTAGATGTAAGTAAGGTAGAGCACGAAGTGTCACTCACATCCTCAAATCGACCAAGCTTAAATTCTAGCTTAATCGCTTGCTTTAAACCTTTGAACCCCCTGCAGGAAGTGCTGTCAGCCGAATCCTATCGCAATGCGATTCCACGATGAAGATGTAAAGATTACCAGTCGCCTTTCTCCTCCTCTAGCGCAGGTACTTCTAGAAATTCAGCAATGGCCTCTTCTGGATTGTCCCCTTTGATCTGCTTCGCGTTGTAGTATTTATTCTCGATACCGACATCGGCTTCTTCGTCGTCGTCTTCGTCTTCATATTCGAAGTCATATCTATACAAGTTGTCAGCAGATGATAAGAGAAGTTAGGGATAGGCACATACTCCTCCTGGTCGGAGTCCTGCATGAAGTCGTCGTCCGACATCTTGAAGCAATGCGCAGTGCGTGCAGCACCGTCTATAACTACCCCACAGCTATATCTGGCTCCTTGCTAACTTGATTCTGTGGGGAAAGAGAGAGATAAACGATTCACGATCTTCAGCTTTCTGAGCCAATGATTTATACGAGTAAAGTATGGATGAAGGGTGACCCAAAGTTCAAGGTTGAATGGGGGGGGGTTGGGATGCTGCTCCATATTTGGACTAGCGCGGCTCACTCCAAGCTTATCTGATCGCCGCCACTTCTCGATCTAACTTAGTTATTCACTTGCAAACCTCGAACCTTCAAAACACACAGCGCCTTGTACATATTCAGTCCCTCGCTTCCTCCAACCCAGCAAGAGTCTATAACGCTATTTCACATTAGACACTGTGCCAAAATGGGAGGCGATCTCAATCTCAAAAAGTCGTGGCATCCCGTCCTCCAGAAAAACCAGGAGCGGGTATGGATCGAGCAGAAGAAGGCTCTCGAGGAGCGCAAGCGGATTGAGCAGATGATGAAGGAGCGGCAGGAAGAGAGGCAAATACAGGAGCTGCAGCAAATGCAGGAAGCAGCAGGCGGGAAGAAACGATTAAGCCGCGTGGATTGGATGTACTCGGGGCCCGCCGCGGGCCAGACGGGGACAACAGAAGAAATTGAAGGATATCTCCTGGGGAAGCGCCGCATCGATGATCTTATCAAGGGCTCTGAAAGCTCGAAGCTACAGAAATCATCCACGGAGGACTCGTTTATGGCTGTGCAGAATGCGAATACCGCGAGGGATACCGCTGCGAAGATTCGAGAAGATCCCATGCTGGCCATTAAAAAACAGGAACAAGCCGCCTACGAAGCAATGATGAACGATCCAATCCGGAGGAAACAACTTTTACAGGCTGCCGGTGTCGATACGCAGTCGTCAGAAAATAATCGGAAGCACAGAAAACGCAGACATAGGAATGATGATAGTGATGACGAGCGGAGTTCAAGACATAGACCTCGAAGACACGATGATCATGGCGACAGACACAGGTCCCGGAGACACGATAATGGGGATGACAGACGAAGTCGCCATCGTCGGAGTCATCGATCACGCAGCCCATCCAGGTCGCGATCGCGATCAAGAAGCCCACCACCCCGCCACTATAGATCCAAAAGCTCACCGTCGCCACTGCACAGGCGACGGTCTTACTCTCCGCATCCCCGTGAACGCTCCCGCGAGCGCTCATCACATCGATCCCGAGAGGAGTCCTCCCGCTCCAAGAGACAGAGCTGGCACCATTATCGAAGAGAGTCACCCCACTCCTATCAGAGATCCGACGCTCCTGCTCGTGCCCGTCTCCCTGCTCCACAAAAGGAGACCAAATCCACCACGAATGATGAAGAGCGCATGGCCAAGTTAGCAGCTATGCAACGAAACGCCAACGAGCTAGACCAGGATCGCGCGGCCCGTCTAGCCGCAGCTGAGAGGCGAGAGCGCAAGGAGCAGGAGGCGGACGACGCGGCTCGCGCGCTGTCAAGCAAATATGGAGGGAAGGGGAGGTTTGTGAGCGGCCTGAATAGGCGGGCTGGAGAAATGGATCTGGCTGATAGGCTCCAACGAGGGAGGAGGGGTGTTGAGAAAGAGCAGGAAGCTTACTGAGAGCAAGGCCTTTTTTTTTTTTTTTTTTTTTTCCCTTCTTTGCTCTTTATGATGATAATACATGATATTTATCTGGTCCGTGTTTCTGCTGCTTTATATGGATCTATGAGTAACTTATATTGGGATCTATGAGTAAATTTTTTATGACATCTGTTGGATTTTGTCAATTTCTAGTTTTATTTAACTGGGGGGAAAAAAGGTTCGGGGAATATGTTCGGTACATTTATATTCTGAAGGGTTGGTTTGAATATTGTTTTCCGTTTCCCCTGCTTGGGGAAAAGGCGAGATTACAAAATCCCCACGGATCCACCCATGGTTTGGAACAGGGCCGAAACACTTTGCATAACCAGAGGGGAGCAATGGGGTACATAAATAAGCGAGTCCTTAGGCCAATGGGTGCCCCTTGAATTTAAAAAGGTATCCCTTTGCCATCAAGTTCACTAGAAGGCGGGGCGCAAGAACACCCCTTGGCAACGAACGACACGGAAGGTTCTGAGAGAGAACACAATGCCCGGATAGATTACCGTCATTCATTCTGCAAGCCCCAGGGACCCCTGGTCGATTTAATTAAATGTTCACTCCCCTGAATAGGAGGAGGGGCTCTCTTTTTTTC